ATTTTACTTCTAATGATTTCTAGACGTCCACGAGGCATCTAACTTGCGTGCATAATGCAAATTATTGCACTCTAGTGCCGAATTTCTGCAAAAAAAGAAGCTAAAAAAGGCATTTTCTAAAGACGATATAGTGCAACGGTGAACAATTTGCGGACGCTTACTGTTGTATGCCTCCTATAGTCAACCGTGCAGCTTAGTAAGTAGGGCACAGGTTAGGACACGCATCAGTAATATACACAACAAATATACACATTGGTCAGTGCCCGACCAAAGTGTAGTGGCGGTTGGTTTGGTTTCGGTTAGGACAAACGCCCTATCACAAATCCCCTGTGTGAGTGCGTGCGTCCTTGCCGCATCTCGTCCACTAGGTGAACGACGCGTCTGCATTCGTCGTGTGCGCCATTTCGTCATGTTAAAGCAACTTTTGTAACTTGTAATAAATGCACGAGCAAACTATTTTAACACCGACAGTTTAAATACAGATATACTAATTTCGTCTGCTACTCGAATCTGTGTTTCAGGTTGACTGGTTCGAACTGTTTCCTGCAGAGGGCGTCTGCGATGTCACTCATCTCATCGTCAAAGTAATTCTTCCAGTCGCCAACTTTTCCTGTCGAAAGAATTTGTGAATAAAAAAACACACACACACATAGATATCTAAGTGATCGCTAGTTTATGCGTGGGCCTAAGAGTGAGGGGGAGGGTTAGGGTTAGGGTTAGAGTCAGGGTTACAGTTAGGGTTAGGGTTAGAGTCAGGGTTACAGTTAGGGTTAGGGTTACTGTTAGGGTTAGGGTTAGAGTCAGGAGTAGAGTTAGTGTTAGGGTTAGGGTTATGGTTAGGGTTAGGATTAGGATTAGGGTTAGGGTTAGGGTTAGGATTAGGATTAGAGTTAGGATTAGGATTAGGGTCATTGTTAGGGTTAGGCAGACCTGCCAACCTGTGATTCATAAAAATAGTAAGGCTTTTCTTTTCTTGCAGCAGGCGGCCATTTTGTTTGTATGTTATGCGCACAATGAATGATGGGACTAACTCTAGATCACGCGAGAACAACGTGAACGCGTGATCCAATATGGNCATGCACTCACGCACCACACACACACACGCGCGCGCACGCACACACGCACACGCACACACACACGCACACACGCACACACGCGCATGCACTCACGCACCACACACACACGCACGCACACACGCACACACGCGCATGCACTCACGCACCACACACACACACGCGCGCGCACGCACACACGCACACGCACGCAGACACGCACACACGCACACACGCGCATGCACTCACGCACCACACACATGAGCACAAACTCACGGGCATGCTATATATTTTAATGTGTTAAACATTTATAATAGCATTTATATCAGAGAAAGCGAAGCGGTTCTAGCGTGTGTTAAGACCACCAGACATATTCAGAACGTTAATAAGAGGCTATCTATACTGGATATTGTCTCACCTAGTAACTTGTAGCCAGTAAAAGTGCTGTAGAT